AGCCTCAGATTCATTCTGAGGGGAAATCTCGGAAATCATTTTTATCGTGAACTGTGCCTTTAAGTTTCTTGTTAGCGAAACAGGGTGACTCACTGTGAAATCCGCGTTTGCTTTTCCCGACAAATGCTATTCCAGTGCTCTGATCAAACATAATCCACTAGTCAGCGACCGCATAGCAACTATCATTCACCTTCTCCTACCCATCGTGAAATCTCCACAACTTCACGTGACTTAACCGAACTTTCTCTGAATATCCTAGTTAGACTTTATGTTCTCGTTGATTGGTGCTTTTTAGCCGCATCGTAACGCGCGATGCCAAAGGTTCATAAAGATGGCGATTTGTGGGCAAAACTTAGGTATCAGGCAGGGCTAGAACCCGTATTCCAAACAGAAGTTTTTATGGTGAAGCCTCAGTGCTGATGAACTGCCATATAAGCCAGTAAACAAGGCGAAGGCAAGCAGGGACTTGGTGACCCGAGCGATAAAGAACACAGTGCCTGGGAAACACAAGTATGGGTTCTAATTCTGCCCGAGATGGAAGTTTTACTAACTACTGGCCATGCTCGAGAGAATTCTGAAGTGACCGACGTAGCTTGTTGGAACGATGAAGCCTAAGCGGCGTTGTTTATCTTCGGGATTACCGATCGCTTGTGAGACACCCTGTCAGTTGTTTTTCAAGTCATGTATCTATAGCACCCAATCCTTCGTTGAAACTCAATACATGCCATGAACCTCGTTCGGTTCTGTGACAGCACATAGCGTAGCATTTACAAGACAACCGATGCCCCAGTAATCAATCTTACCCTGCCCACGAGTATCATAAGTCGAAAGCTTTCGACCTTGTAAGGCAGTAAGGAAGATCCTGTCAATGTCTGATCATGGGGGGACGGAACATTCGCCCAAAACTGGATGGATACGGCAAACCGCGCAGCGAAATTAGTGGTGATTAAAACGACTTTGTCGCCTATCATTGAGCACGGGTTTCAAATAGATTGGATAAGTAGGGTCAGCTGATGCTACTTCTCTACCCCATTTCAGATTTGTGCCCCAATGATAGGGGTGGCAGTCATTTTAATCACCACGAATTTTGCCGCGTCCATCCAGTTCTGGGTGAATGTACCCGTACCCCTGATCATGCAAAAAGTAAGTAGCTCCCTTCAGCAAATCATCATCAGCTTCACGAATGAAATCCTTAATTCGTTTAGAATCATTTATAGCTCTCTGCCAGAAGCGTTCTTTCCTAGTCGAGGAAGTGTTTGTACTGTTGACTGTGCGTAAGACCTCTAGCAAGCGTAAATCGTTTGACAAGGCAATTAATGCTCGTGGGAAGTCGCCATCTGGATATTATCAAGAAACGTGAGAGTGACTAAAGGAGAACTGAAGTATTCCCTTTTAACAGTGGACGTATGAGTCACAGAGGTTTTCGCTGATAAGAACCTTTTCCAGCCTGTATCGAGATATGGCAACCCTCCACTATCGCGAAGGCTTTACGTCGGCGATTCCTTCAAGTGATAACAAGCTGCCACGGAGTTTCTGCTGTGCTTGTAGATTTTTGAAGTCAACGATCTTCCTCTAATTGCAGCATTCTTTGCTCTTTTGATGACTTCTCTTTTCGATATTCTTTATGTTCAATACATTCATTCAATACTTCTGTTTTATATTATATTTCAAGAAGATCCTATCGGATCAGCGGGAAAGTTAACCCCGACAAAAGAAGACCTATTGAACTAACTTGTGAAATGCATCCAAATAGTGGTGGAATCGGAAGTGGAACTCATGCTCAGGTGAATTTCAATTCTTGCCTTAGTGCCATTCACGGAAATCGCATAAAGTAATGGCTCATTGTAATAAATTTAGGGACACGGTGGAATCGGATCCGGCATAAGATCCGATGCACCTCCTTGTGTTGGCGGAGGAATCGGTTCGGGAATAGGTTCAGGATCTACACCGAATCATCCTCATGGTCCAGGAATTGGATCTGGAGGTGTTCCAAACTGTCCTGTACCCGGAGGGATNTTTTTTTTTTTGACAGAGTGGTGGCATTGGACATGGAGCTGATCCGATGAGGCCGTATCCAGATCCAGCACCACCAATAGGTCACGGCGGAATCGGAGCCGGGGCAGCTCCGCTCACACCCTGTCAGGGGGAACTGAACTGCAGTGAGCTTTTTTCTATGGTAACTTTGTTTTGGAAGTGAACTGCGTAAGGAAGCACTATGTCTATTTTTTGAAGCTATCACTGTTTTCGGATCATTTATATGACGCCAGGTCTCCACACCCCTGGAATTTTGTTTTGCTTCAGCCCAAATATTCTCTCCTTTCTGTCAATGGCAGTCTCGTTGTACCGCTGTGATCTGATGGCAAAAGAACTCCCTACCTTTGGACCGAGGTGGCTCACAGCCGATTTCATCCGATGGTTGTATACGTTCACTTACCTCGATGTTTATCTCCGTCTCTCCCTGAACCTTTCTACCGTCCTCAACTAACCTTTTCTTTTGAATCTTACTTGTTATTAGTGTCCATCACGTCCACCGTTGTCTTCTCCTTCGAGATGAAAAGCATAATTATGAGGGGGCGAGTGAGTCAGTTCAATTTGTCACATGTCACATGTGAAGTATCATGGCAAAAACCAGTCAACGACGCAGATGGGCCAGATTAAAAGGCCAAGGTTCTTTTCCGCGTTTGTAACAAAATCAACCACATTGAGAGTGACTTTTTTTATTCCACTCGAATCAAGGAATCAACGCTTTCGAGCTGGGACAATGGCAGTTCAAATGAAGTAGTCTTAGGTTAAGCTGCTACCGTAGACTAAAAGTTTGTCGATGCTCCTCATCGCGACAGGGACAATGAAGACGTTACTAATGCTCACTCGCGAAAATTGATGATGACGGGACGTTAGGTGACGCAGGTGAACTGCGATCAAGACAACGTGCGCTCAGTTCTCAGGATATGTCACACCGATTTAACTCTAGCCGCGCATTGTGTCGCGTGCCACATTTTCTATTGCCGAGATAATGAGCTTGCAGCCTGACCCGACTATCGATAGAAGTGCACGTTTCTCAGTTTCTCATCACCTCGAAACTGCGCGGGCCTATTGGCGGTGTTCCCGTGAACACTTTGTTGGCTCTCGCTCCTTAGCTAAATTATAATATGTACAAAAGTGATCAGCCGTGGAGTAGCTCAGTAGTATCCATTTTTAATGCCGGTAAACTTGATACACACTGGCTATCAGACTACCTACGCACCGCTTGGAAGCCACCATCATCACCATTACCGCCATCACAGCCGTTGATATTGCAGTTACCACTGAATTGGTCCTTGCACTCCGTCGAACCTCATCGGAAGCCATTTTACTCCACCAGCACTCGAAACCTCAGCACATTTTGTATTCTATTGTAATAACATAACCCACAGATGTTCCACAGGTATTACTAGCTGCATTTTGAGGGCCGCATCATTTAAGTCATTTAATAATAATCGAACATGGGCTGAATGTGCCAGTGCAATTGCACACGAATATAAAATACTGGGAAAGAAGCTTTATTGCCTTCAGAAAGCAGATGTCAATAGAATTAAATTATCAATTTGCTTTCGTGTTCTAGAGTTGATTAGATATTTTTCTCATTACAAGATTACCTATTCTGACTTTACCCTGGAGACGATCTTTCTAGCGATCACTTATAGATTGCAACAATTAGCAGTTGAACAGTCCCACTCTTCATTAGCTCAGAAAAAACAGCGAAAGTTAGCTAGTGGAAAAGGCTGAGATGGATCAAAGTCGCTGCTTCAAACCGATTCTAACGCCCGTTCTCGTGAGGGAGTTTCGACAAGGCGCGGCCGTAGACGCGCTAGTGATCACCTTGGATTGATTCACATCCTATATTCCCTGATCCGGGCTCCACTGGAGGACGGAACTCACATGCGTCCGAAGACGCGGCAAATTGCGCGGCGATGTTCGTGACGATTTGAACGACTTCAGTGCCTAACATTGTGGCCTAAATTTGAAGTAGAGTAGATCAGGACGATCATTTGACTCTACTAAACTACTCAACTTCGAGTTTGTGCCCCGATAATAGACGCCAGAGTCGTTCGAATCGCCACGCACTTCGCCGCGCAATTTGCCTCGGACGCACGTATGTGCCCACACCCGGGCTCCACTTTCTTAATTTCCAGTTGCACAATGCATACAATAATCAATAGTAGTTCTCGTTATTATTCATTCGCAATGCTTGATTTCTCTATACGCAACAGACGAACTTCTAGGTCACCATGTTCATCACGATTGCTGTTAAAAGAAACCTCCTGGAATCATCAACTACCTCCATGCTCAAGTTGACATCAAATATCGAATCAATAAAGCATGTTTCACTTCTTGACTCATGTAAATTTTACGTGGCAAAACTATGGTCATTAAATACAATCAAAGTACCTACTTTAGATGCACCAAACGGATCGGGCTCGCCTATTTCCAATATCATGCGTGACTCGCCCTTAGTGAGCGGGGTCCCGCTCAAGTCCTGTGTTCCTGGGTTTGGGTAACTTGGTTCTTCAATTTCAACTGAATTTCGTTTTCTCAGTGGGAATGCACTCGTTCCTCACACATACCGAATTCCGTCTCCATCGGCCCAGCGCTCTGAGTGCATGGGAACACGAAACACGAATTTACAACCGAACACTACTTTCGNCCCGCCACGAGCCATCCTGCCGCCTTCACGTCTACCAAATTTGAACGTCCTGTGCCCCCGGAAGCAGGAATTATGAATTTAGATTGAAAACCGCACCGAAATGCACATACCGACAAATCAACAGACACTTATACTTTTATCGCATATACATATACAGTATGTTACTGGGTATGTTCTCGAAACTCCATCTTGTTAAAAAAGGATTAATTTGGGGTGGAGCAGACGTCACATGAAATATAAATTGATGTTCAAGTAAAGGTATCGTTCCTGACATAACAACAAGAGCCTTGATGAGCGAAAACCATCCACCATTCGTATCAGAGCATTTGTATTAGGTTACTTCAAAAGTTTGCATCATTTTCGAACATTCAACTTCATTTCGGACAAGTGCATCATACATGTATATCATATGCACCATCACTATCAACAATATGCTGTCAAAGACTGAGCGGGTGTGGATGCCTCGCCTTTTGAAGTCCTCTTGTATCAAACTGAAAAAGCGTGTCGTCACTTTTGAGACCTTCCGAGCAGTATTTTTTGCCCGCAAGGTGCTGCTGAGGCTGCTTTCATAGTCCGCCCGCCGGCCCGCGAGCCCACGCGCCGATCGGGGGCAGCACTTCTCACTTGTTTACTACTGAATCTTAATCGATACCGCAGCCGAGTAGTACCCCAGCCGGAGGGCTATGAAAGCATCCTGAGGGACCTCGTGAGTGGTGCAGCTTTTAGAGTGCCGCTGAAACCCGTCCACGCATATACACAGTGCAATGTTTGAGTCCTTACAACGCCCTATCTAGGCCGTTTTCCCGACCTGACAGCGCGACATATAGTATACGAGGGAGCCACAAATTCATCCCAGTGGGATATCTTAGAGACCGTTTTGATCGTGGACTGTGCCTCAAAGGGAGCCTAAGGGTGGATGAAATGCCTTGTTCGGATATTGGCCTGACTACAGCAGAGAATGCAGGCATCCTGTCCGTCCTACTTGCAAGATGACAACCACACCACATTTAAATATTTTTTT